TCTGCATACAATGTGGTTAAAATTTTGTCAAAAACCTGTATGTATATATAAACATATGTTTGTGTACTTGCATGTATGTGTATAAATGACTAACAACAGTGATTGAAAGACATACACTGGACTGTAAATAATTGGTACCTCTGGGGAAGAAAATGGGATTAAAGTTGGCATAGGAGCATTAAGGGGACTTTTACATCTATTATTAGCTTGATCTTTAGAAAAGCAGGAACCTATATATGTGTTTTTTTGCAATGTAAACAAATACAGCTTAAAAGATAGGGAAACAGATACAGTATATGAGTAAGTTACAAATGAAAAAAAAGCTAAGGAATACATTAAAAGTGTTCAACCATACTTGTATTTACATAAATAGAACACAAAATTTTATTACATTCTATTTTATATCAACTTGGAAAAGATCAAAAGAAATAACACCCATTGTTGAGTGGTGCAAAAACGCAAATGATGCTGGTAATATATATACAAAAAAAGAACAGCAATCATATGTGTGTATGTGTTTGAGAAAGGAAAAGAGGAGAGAGAGAAGATAGAAAAGAGTAGTAACAAAAAACAAAAACCTTTATTAACTTCCTACTTCTAGTATATGAGCAGCATTTCCTACAAAAATGTTCATTATAGAGTTTTTGTAACAGTAAATGATCAGGAATATTGCTTGTTCGACAATAGCAGTTTGAGAAATTATGACACATTTAAGCAATAAAATGACATGCCACATTTAAAATGCTGTAGAAGAAAATGTGTTTATATACAAAGAGATGTAGACAGTTTCATTTTTTTTTTTTTTGGTATAACATACAGGTTACAAAATTATATGTGCTGTATGAAATTGTTTATTTAAAATCTGTAAGAGTATGTGCAAATATATTATCATAAGTATAGTCAGGAAAATTATGAAACAAATGAGTAGAATGGGTCCTACCAGTTATCAAAACATAGTAATAAAGTAATTTATAAATCTTTTAAAACATTATTTGTGGATGATGTAATTACAAGTTTCTTTTTTTCTTTTTTTTTCTTGCTTATCTGTGGTCATATTTTTCTACAGTTACTGTTTATTATTCTGTAATTTAAAAAGTAATAAAAGTTGATATTGAAACTATCTCAAGTCAAGTAACAGAGTGACTTTTCACAAGTTGTTTTTAATACCTCACAATATTCTCCCACATTTAGAAAAGTGAAAGGGTAAGGTTATTTCTATTTCTGTGTGCTTAAATGGCGCTTTGATTTGGTTGGGAGTTACACTTCCTTTCAGCGCATTTCTGAGAAGTTCCCAGGTGCTGCTGATGACACTAGTCTGAGCACACACCTTGAGAACCACTGTGCCTGGGCAAAAGCCTGTTTTTTCTGAGTTGGAACAGTCAGCTTCACTGACAAGCTTTGCCTTCTTCAGGAGAATTATGAATAGATAAAATGAAGTCTAACCAAACCTGTAACATTCCCTCCATGTTCTTTCTTCTTGCTGCTCCTTAGGAAAAAGCTTAATTGGATAATGGGGAAATTGAATCTTTCTTTATAATAAGTCCTGTAAGATTTACTTATCTTTAGTTATCTCTGAGATCTGAATATTACCAGCTTGAAAATCTAAATTATATGAAGCTTTACACAGGGCCTGTCTATGAAATGTACAGATTTTTGGCTACCTGAATTTTATTTACCATTTGTTTTACTTCTCTAAGACATCTGTGTTCCTTGTTTGCTAGTTTCTTTTCTAAATTTTGATTTATAAAAGGGGTTTTGGAGTCATATTCATATGTGAGATTGGCCTATAATTTTCTTTTCTTGTACAGTCTAGTTTTTGCTATCAAGGTTATATTAACCAAAAAAAAAAAAAAAAGAGCAGGGGCACAATATTTATATCTCTGTTCTCTAGAACAAGGTTAGGAACTATCTGTTTAGTGGAACTTTCCTGTAAAATCATCTTAGCCTAATGTGCTTTTGGGGGGTTTTTGTTTGTTTGTTTCACTTTATTGTGTTTTTTGTTTTGTTTTGATTGAAATATTTTTAATGGCTACACATTTTTTTGTCTTTCTTCCAGTGAATTTTGTTGCAACGTACACTATAAAATCATAAAGGTAGATCTCAGTAAACTTTCACAGAAGTAAACAGTTATGTCACTACCCACAAATCAAGATAGAATAGCATCCCACAAGCACACCTTATATCTGCTCCTTATAAGTGCCTCCAGTATTCTAACGTCTATCCACTTCTTAAGTGAAAAGAAATAAAGGCTAATAAATAACAATGTAAAATGAGGCTGAATTTATTTGCATGCCTGGCGAGGAAGAGCAGCATTATTCAAGTACAAGTTCAGTTTTATTTTATTTAGAAATTGAAAGAGCTTGATATAGATCAAAAAAGGAGAAATATTATAATATTAGGCAGCTTTTTGAGTTCAGGTCTCCGGCTGGTTTACAAGGTGGATGGGAGACTCTTCCTTGTGAGAGGCCACTATCAAGGTTCACTTCCCTGCTAACTGAAAGCCTGGTTTTAATCAAATCAAGACTGGGTTGTGTAAAATTCTAGAGAGCATACGTTGTTCAGGATACACAATTATGCATGCAAGCCCAAAGCTGAGCAAAAATATTCTTCAAAACAGCATAGATTAGTTTGAACTCTATGATAGTGAAATCATGCAGGGTATGCTGTTCTCTGTTTGGCCTCTTTTGCTCAATATTACATTTATGAGACTCGTATTTGTGACTGCATGAATGAGCATACATTCTTTTCATTTTATAGTATTCTCTAATGTGAATATATTATCCTTTCTTCGTTTATGCTTTTGTTAATGAATATTTGGATTGTTTCAGTGTTTTATTCTTACAGGTAGTCCACTATGAACTTCCTTCTAGTATTTTTGTATACATACATTCAAACACACACACAAACACTTGGGCGTATGTCTAGGAGTAGAATTGTTGAGTCATAGGGAGGGCATATGGGAGCTTTAGTGCACACTGCCAGTTTTCCCTAGCAGTCAGACAGATTTACAATCCCACCAGCAGGAAATTAGCTCCGGTCGCTTCACATTTTTGTTGATACTTAGTGTTGTCAGTCGTTTAATCTTAGCCATCTCAGTGAATGCATAGTGGTATCGCGTTGAGGTTTTAACTTGCATTTTCCTCATCACTAGTGAAATTGAATATATTTTTATATGTCTATTGACCATGTAGATATCTTCTTGTGAATTTCTTGTTCAAGTATTTTCCCTATTTTTTCTATTATTTTTCTTTGTCAAAGAATAGTAAGAATATCTATCATCTGCACATACACACACATACATATACATACACACATATATAGCTTCAGTTTGTGGTCTTTATGGATATGTTTATACAAATATCTTCTATCGTGTAGCTTGCCTTTTCACTTTTGTTTTCTATGGCTTGTATTTTTATGCTTTTAATGGTGTCTTCTGTTAAACAGAAATTCATGAGAAATAAATGTTTAGCAAATTTAAATGGTTCTGGGTTAATTCAGATATTTTCTCTTTCTTCTTGTGTCTATGTTGATAGTTATAGTTTACCAGGATATGATCTCTTTAATTAAAAATTGTCATAAAGTTGCTCTTTCTACTACTTTATAATTCTTAAAAACAAACAAACAAACAAACAAAAACTCTACGCAGGCCGGGTGCGTGGGCTCATACCTGTAATCCCAGCACTTTGGGAGGCTGAGGCAGGTGGATCACCTGAGGTAGGGAGTTCAAGACCAACCTGACCAACATGGCGAAACCCCGTCTCTACTAAAAATACAAAATTAGCCTGGCGTGGTGGTGCATGTCTGTAATCCCAGCTACTCGGGAGGCTGAGGCAGGAGAATCTTTTGAACTCAGGAGGCGGAGGTTGCGGTGAGCCGTGATCCCACCATTGCATTCCAGCCAAGGCAACGAGAGTGAAACCCCATCTCAAAACAAACAAACAAAACAACAACAACAACAAAACTCTACTCAATTTGTAGTCATGAACTCTTTTCTTGTTCCTAACTCTATTTCATTTTGCCCATTGTATCTTTTTCATTTGATTAAATATTGTCACAGTTTTATCTATTTTCTTAACATCTTCAGATCTTTAATATATTTCCATCATTGTAGCATCTTGATTAATCAAGAGAGACTTCATTCTACATCACTAATTTACATCAAAACTTTTCTTTTATCCAGAATACAGAAGACTTGGAATTCTTTACTTGGACAATGTATTTGTGTGAGTCTAAAACCATTAGTCAAAAAATTCTATAGGAAACAAGATACAGAATATTTAAATCCAAGTATTATGCCCTGGTTTTCATTTTCGGTTATATGGTGATTTACAGACATTTTCTGAAATTCATCCATTCTATTATGTTTTTCATCAAGCTTTCCATCTCATTTTATGTGTGGGGCTGAGAAATATGCTAATGCACACAAGAAATTATGTTGTATGAGAGTAACTATTACTTATGAAATAGCTGAATAAACATGTTGGAGGAATTTAGGTCATGATTCCCACAATAATTTTACTTTAGTCTAAGTAAAAGTGGTTATGAAGGCATCAAAAGTGAAGTTCCTTTTTGCTTCACACATAAAGCCACACAGGGTCCCTGGCTTCTAGTGGAGGCGTGTTTTTCACTTAGACGTGAAATGGAGGTTGCTTTTTCCCACTCAGACCCAGAGCAGAATAGAAATCCCTTCCCACCACAGCAGGTCAGCTCCAAGTAGAGATTGAGAAAGAGAGAAAGACAGCATTATACAGAAATAAAACAAGGCTATTTCTGGAAAATATGTTATTGGTGACAGGCATTTTCCAGAACATATTTTTAAAAAAAGAGAAAGAGAAACTCTTCAGGTCTTTCAAGAACAGAGATCCTTGGAAGACAATCCCCTCTTTCTCCACCCTTCCCTGCAAAAAAATCATTCATTAAGGATACACATGCAAACTCTCAGCAATAAGAAGAGGAAACTAATTTTTGTAATAAGTATAAAACTAATTTTTGTAATTAATATAAAAGATCAGCTATGAGTAAATACCTGCTCCTAGTCAGAGAGTGTTGGAGTGTTAAAACTCTTGAATACAGAAAAAGATCAGCAATTTAAGTAGAACCAGATAAGAGGATAAAGGGAAGACAATACAGAAGGAGCAGATGAGGAACATGGCTGAGGCAGGTGAGGTTGCAGCATACACGCTCCTGCACCCACAGCAGGCACTGCTGTTTGAATAGGGCTTTTCTTTCCTGCTAATCTCAGACATGACTCAATAATCCTCCTTGGCTATATACTCAAGATTGCCATTTTTAACCTACCGACAAGTGTTGGCCCATGAGAAGCAACTACTTTACTTTCATGGGGTTAAAGGTTTTTGTGAGTGTATTAGTTAAAGAATTTAAAATGACAGTTAATAGCAAATTTGTATTGCATGTGTAGTTTGTTTGTGTGCCTCCTCGAAGCAAACTCTATTATTCTTATCCCATTGAACATACTCAGTAACTGTCAATTAATCTCTGTTCTTATAAAGTCTTGCATTATATAGCCTCTTCAGGGATTGTTATACATGGAGGGAGCCCTACTTACAACTGGGTAAAGATTTTGGTTTCTGCACTCGGTACAGTATGCTGCCTTAATAAGACTTACTTCTGATGTATGACATTATGCATGAACTCTCTAGCATTTGTTTGCTTTCTTTGTTTCAGAGTGACTTATTTCCAGCCCTCCTATGCTGTGACTATGTTTTAATTCTTCTCCTAAATTCTCCTTTCTGGTTTGATTTTAGCATGCATGCGTCTAATGCACAACCATCAGCCTCAGTATCTTAGGAACATTACTCCATGATAGGTGTGGGGAGCTTACGATGTGGGCCTCAGGCAGCAAGTGATTTGCATTGGTCATGGGCATGCATCTGGAGCAGAATTGAGCCTGGAAAAGTGACTGTGACCGGTAGAAGAGGATGTATGTAGCCTCATCACTTAAGGCATTGATTTTCAACCACGGAGATCCCTTACAAAACAATTTCTGCTCCAACCCACATCCTGATTTTATAGGTCTTGAATAAGTCAGAGACCAAGGCATGTATTAAAAGCATCCTAGGCATTTAATATGCATCCAAGGTAGGAAAAACAAAATCATTGTTTTATAGGTAAAGTTTTGTTTAAGGGAAAGAGGCACAACAGGTAGGGGAGTGCATTTATCAGGTGTTGCTTTCAAGAGTAGGCTTAGTGGTGGCCCAGAGGACCAGACTAGTCAGCTTTGTCACACAGGCAACAAATGCTCCAGGGTGACTTTGCCTCAAAAGTCAGATTAGCTTTATCAGATTAGCTCTGTTTCTCTACCATGGATAGATACCTCAGGGTCACTCCAACTTCTTATCATGGCAGAGTCATATTTTCTAATAAAGGTCATCCTTAAGTTATCTTTTGGTATGGTATTTCCAAGTGCATTACGCCTTTCCCTATACCTCCCACCAGCTTTTTCATCTTCGGAAACAGAGCCACCTTAATTGTGAGGTATGCGATATCGCTATATTCCTTTAGATGTCTTATATAAACTTATGTGAAACCATAGAACAAAATACCATTTTTATGGTAGGTGTATTCACAGAAAAGAGGGAAGGAATATGTTTAAACATTTGGATCTACTTTCCCAACACAAATAACAATTTGGATATAGCAGAAAGAACTGTGAAAAAAAATTAATAAGCGTGGTTGTTGAATTGTCAATTGTTCAATGAAATATTTGTGTTCATATTGAAAAACTGCCCACACATTTATCTCTTCAGATTACTTATTAAAATTTTATTAAATACTTTCCATTTTTACCCTTTTGGTTGAGGTATATAAGAAGAATTCAATTTACTCCTGCCTTGGAAAATGATAAAATAAACCTTAGCAAATGTAATATTTTGTTAAGATTTAAGAATTTAAGTGAAGAAGTCAAAATAAATTTAGACAATGTATTCATGCTGCAATCTGTTTTCGCCTCACTGGAAATGTCTGCTACAGAGGCAAACTGAAGTTGTGTATATCATGCTGATTCAGAAGAGAATGAAGGCATTTGTCAAGAGATAATGTCAGACTAAACAGACGTGTTCCAATCGAGTAATGCATTTGGAGGATTTCCAAATATTTGCTGATCTGAGGAGGGTGAGGTGAGGCTAATCCATAATTTGTCAATTCCACTGAAAAACTATCAAAAGCACATTTATACACAACTAGGTATGCTTCTTTGCGTCAGAAAATAGATCCATAATTAGATCTTATGACAAAGGTCCCCTTGTGATAATGTAAGAATTTAACTTTGATTTGTTGCTATTGTAACTGGCTAATTAATTTTAATTTTCAAAGGCACGAGCTTGTGAGAAAATGATTTAGAATTGATATCTGACCTCCAGCTGTTGAATGAATTATAATTTTGATTATTGAAAATATATTTGTGGAGACTACTAACGGTAGAAGAAATAAAGAGACTCCTAATAAGTATATGGGTTTTAAGTTCCATTTTAGTAGTGCTTTTATGCTCTATTACTAAGACTTAAATTCCATGGTAACTCAGCAAGCAGTATGTTAGTTTAACCATGAAGCACTTTATAATAGGCATTGCACGTTGTCTATTCATATATTAGGTGCAGCCTTTTCAAAAACACAGAGGAATTGGGGTGTATGTGGAAAAGTATAAATTATTAACAGATTGATTTTAATTGTTTCTTATAAGTAACATCTTAGGCACGGGTGTGTGCCTTTGGGGAAACAAATGGTTTTAATGTGACATTTATATTTGTTACAGATAACTAAATTTCATGACAGGAGAATTATGCCTATAAAATGTGTATTTCCAAAACATGGTCACTTGAGACTGTTGTTTTATTACATTTGTCCTTATGTCTTTATAGCTGAGGTTATTAATGTTACTACTATTCTCTCAGATACATGGGTTTGAAATGCAGTCATCTTTGACTCATCTTTATTTTCTCCTGTTTTTTCTCTCTCCCTTACTGCAAACCATATACCCAGTATCCATCTATCTAATTCATGGTTCTTTGTATAACATTTATCTTCTCAGAAACCATTAATGCTTCCCCATTGCATACTGAGTTTTAAGTTAAATCTTTTTTTTTTTTTTGCTATTAATGACAGCGATATTACACATTTGAAAATTCACATTTTCAAAAATTGCATTATAAAACCAATTGTTTCAATATGTATATGTTAAGAAAGGATAAGGAAAGGAGTAAATAATACCAGACCACAATAACTGAATTATATTCAAAAATTTCTTAGATGAAATTATTATTCAAACTAGGTATGGCAATATTATATGAAAGCGACAAATAATAAACAAAACCAATAAAAATAAACCAAAATGTCCCTGGGGAGATACTGAAGAGCATGTAAGATCAGACAAGAATCAATAAACTTTCTATAGTCAAAATGAATTCTAGTGTTGTTTACAACTTCCAGCAGGAAATAGAAGAAAGAACACCAGCTGAGCATCCATTTATTGCAAACCAAGCAGGTGTGGGTTCCTACTCTGTTTACTCAATAGCATTTTTCCACTGAGCAAGGTGCTTCTTCCCAATCACAATAACATTGTTTCCAACAGCTGCTGGAGTAGTGACAATCTTTCCCCTTAATTATTCAATCATGTTCTCTCTAATTCATATCACATAAAGTCACACAATAGGAGACATGCCTAAACATATTATTTAGTCTAGGAGGCAGGCAGGGTCCCCACGACATAGCCTTAATCTACTTAACCAGTTCACATTCTCCTATTTCCTCAATATATAGTATGTCATACTGATTAGGAATATTGGCTTGACAGTCATTCCACCTCAGTTCATAATCCTAACTCTCATACTTGTTAACTGTGTTCTTGAAGGTAAGTTATACGAACACTTTGTACCTTAATGTCTTCATCAATTAAATGGTGATAATTTAATACTGCTACTCCCATAACCTTATTGGAATATTAGACCAGTCATTAGATCTACTTGTGTATATTATTGGCTGTGCCTGGCACCCAATTTTCAAGCATTGAGGAGAGCTATTGTTACCCTCCTGCATCTCGATGGCTATTTCCTAAACATAAGCCTCTTAACCACTTTCATTCCCTCGGATAAACATGCCATTTCATTCTTAGCCTGCTAAAATCTCAACAACTCCTGTAGATCTATTTCCAGTACATATCTTTATAATCCTTTTGATCTGTTCAAATGAATGAAATTTCACTTCCATTTCTACTTCACGGTGGGCCTCTTTCCTATGAGACTTGAATTCAAGACCATTCAAGTGAATATATATATATACAGAGAGAGATATATACACACACATATATATATTATATATATATATAATATATATATATTATATATATATATATATCCCCATTTTCCAACCTTCCAACCTATAATAACCAGTTATTGACCTATTGGTTTAAAATGCAGCAAAATTCCACATTCTATTTTTGGATTTTCCAGGTATATGATGGGAAACAAATCTGAGAAAAGAAGGATGGTGGATGCTTTCCCATTTTGACCTATGGTCATTTTGGTAAGAACATTTTACTCAATTAAGAGGTAATCAAGTGATTCCAGGCCTGCTGCTAAATAATTATGAGATGATATTTGGAAATATGTATTTCCTTTTTAGCTCCTGAAGCCACAGGTGTATGCCTGAGGTTCTCAACAAATGGCTGATTATCTCTCAGAATATTCAGTTGTCTGGTGGCTGGCACTAATAGCTCAGAATAAGCCATGTTTAACTTTAGGATCCATCTGGACTCTTGGCCACTAGTGGTAGGTAATACTAGCTGCAGAATTCAGTTTCTCTGAGCCTGTGAAAACCGCCTGATTTCATTTCAAATTCATTTTACTTCCTGTGGGATGGATTTGAGATCAGAGCAAAATATTCAACCTCATTTTTGTTCATCTTGTCCAAAATATGATCCAGATTAACTTTTCTTAGCACACATTTGCATTTTTTACAAATATCATTTTTAATGAAATTAAAAATCTGTGATTATAAACTTTAATATTGTGCAAGTAGCATTTGTAATATAAAGGTTTCAAAAAAGGAAGATAATTTTCTCTACTGGAGATTTATTTTGCCATTTTCAACTTGGAAGCCCAGGACTCAAACAAAAGTATTGTTTGAAAGCTGCTGGGGTTCCTTATTACTTATGCTGGAAGTTTCAAAAAAATGTTTTTAGCAAAAAAGAAACCTGTTTTGTTCTAAGAATTTGAAATTTTAACAGTTAAATTATTGCTAAATTTGCATAAGATTTGCTCTGTAAGAAAATACTTTTTATATTTGTTAACATGTAGTTGTTTTACTTATTTGTGCATACTAGCTTAATATATACATAGTCATATTAATATATGTTGATATGTATACATAAACACTTAAATATAAATTTTATTTTTTAAATGCATGATTTGCAATTTTGTTACAAATTGTTAAAAATTGTTTTGTGGAGTTTATGCATTTTGTAAATATGATGGTGGCAGATGGTGTACATGTGAGTTAATTGAATAGATCTTTCATAGTCTGGCACTTTTTGTGCTTTTAGAATTTGGAGAAGTTAGTCTTTACTGATGAAATGTACTTTAGAAACTATTGAGCAAACATAAAATTTTAAGAACACCTTGTTTTTATCCTATGGATTTTCCTATTATATTTAAATTTGCTCTTTTGTTTTTAGAGCTCCCCTCAAGAAACATACTCTTTATTTTTAATGCTCAATCCTTTTTTATTCTTTGTAGAAACTAGTGGTCTCCTATTAAGTAAATAGACGTGGGTCTCATTAGAGGGATCCATTCTAAAACAGAAGAGGACAACACTCAGGGAGGGCTGCAATGAGACAGAGAATCCTGAACGTTGTTCCTGATGTGCAGATCTTCACCTAGGGCTGCAGAAGACTGTACAGCTATAGACAAAATAATGATGTACAGATATCATGGAAAGTAAGAACAAAGGAGTGAATCCATCCTACAGTCTGAAGGCAGAAGCAAGGCCATAAATGGGGTTGGGGGGGAAACCCTGTGGTAAGAATCTGTAGAGATGAGGAAAAAAATTGTAGGATTTAGGTAGGTTAGGAACTGGCAGTTCAGAGCAATGCCAGGGTATTAGAAACTCACTCTAGTGTGGTCTAAGTTTCCCAATATAGGATTGAGTGGACCTCATCATATTAGCCACATTCAAGGAACATATGTATGTTATAGAAGTCAATGGTTGCATTAAAATATTCATTAAGTTTGAACACAAGTTCTAATTTATTTTTATCATTATTTCTTAATAGCAGTTAATTCTTTGTGGCTTCAATTACTGGCTGTATTCCAAACAGTTACCAACAGTTCACTTCTTTAATTGCAGAACTTATACCATTTCCAAATAACCAATGTAAACTTTTCCTTGGATATTATTTTGTTACCTGCAAATAACAAATGTGAATTTAGATTTATCATCTTCCTCTGGGACTGAATTTCCCTTGTAATACAGTTTTTTGTTGATTTGTTTGTTTTTCAGTGACATCCCCAGCCCCTACATACCTGTTTGATTTATCTTTTATTTCCTTCTTTTATACTTAAACCTTAAGGTAGACTGGAAAGTTGATATCAGTGACACAAAGTTTAATTGATTGGGTACTTTACATTTCTACATGTTTTTGTACATTTCTGATTTATATGGATAAAAAGCAACTCAGATTAAGCCTCCCTCATTGCCCTAAGAGGTCTATTATATTTTTAGTGATTTACCTAGGGGATGTATACATGTAGTAACAGTAGAAATTAGAGGTGCAACACTACTGGCCAGGATATAGCAACATCCTGAGTACATTAATAAAGTGTAACATGTCCAGCATGTTAGGCACAAATAAAAATAGAGAATGTGGTTTTATTAAATTATCAGAAGTTACGGGTCACATTCAAACAGAAATATTCTATGAAATTCAATTCTAAGAAATTCAACTTACTTTTAATGTTTCTGAAATTGGTAAACATCATTGATGTCAAAAAAATCTTCTATGCTTGAAATAAATTATACTTGTCATTTCTAAGCTTACGATAACATGGTCAAGAATTAAAGGTATCTTCATCTGACTTCTGTTTCATCAGTCTGCTATTTGAGAAGGGTTATTTGCCTTAATACCATCAGCAATGGTTGAATTTTATATTTGGATCTGCATTTGTCACTTAAAATGTCCACAAAAAGATAACCCCCTTAAGAAGCATTAGAACTAGAAGTTACTGTGAACCTAGGTGATCGCCTGTTTTTTGCCATCTAGCATAATGAAGGTCGTAGTATTGACAAAGTTTTTGGAATTCACTACAGATTTTTCAAAACCAGATAAAAACTGTGACCAGTTTTTGAGTCCTGGGGAACTATCACTCATTTAATTAACAACCATAAACAAAAACAAGTTAACTAGAATTTAACAAAATAGTAAATGGAGAAAAAAAAACTCTAGTATTACCTGATTGGTTTCTAAATTACACTGTTGCTCCTAAAAATGTTAAGAAATTAGGATTGTGAGCACTGTTGATCACTATGATGATATGCTTACCCACTGCTGGACAAAATTTATCAGAAGAATTTTTAGACTTGGACTGTGTCATGGCTTAGATGTTGATACTGATGAATAAAGTGACATGCAATTTTATGGATAAATGAATGTTACTGTTAAGTAGTTTTTAAGTATGTGCATTTTAATATATTGTCTTTCCTCAAAATGCTATTCTCAATTTGATGATATGCCTTGAAAATCAATACTGTTTTAGGGTGAAGGAAATGTGGTAAATTAATGGTGTCATTAGAAGAATGGAGGTTGCCATAGAACTTCATTTGCTTCACTCTTAGGATATAACTTTTTAATTTATTCTTGTTAGTATTTTCTTATCTTCCATACTGAACAGGAAACTTATTGAATGAACAAACCATGAGTACAATTAGCATATACCTAAATCGATTTGCAGTGAAAAGCTTCTTCATAAATTCTTCTTTGCCTGAAGAAATTAGGAGGTGAAGGAGCATCAACATGAAAGGGAAAAATAAGAATTATAGTGGGATACTATATTAGAGGCCAAGGAAAGATGCTGCTCTGCCTAATCTGACTTTCTGACACTGAGAGGCAAACCTCCAAGATTTCCACCTATCCATATTCATTCATTCACTCACTCACCTGGTGTCTATACATTAGGAAGCAATTGCTTTGTGTTAACCCTTGGTTTTGAATGAGAATGCAAAATTAAATGAAGAATAATTTCTGTTTAAAAGGGAGGGTTTGTTTGACAGGCATATGTATAAACACTGGAAATTATGAAGTAAAGAAGGTTTCCAATTTTCCACATACAAAAAGAGTACTAAAAAATGGTGGTGTGTTCAGAGTAATAGCAAACTTAATATAATTTCATGCCTTCAAGCAATATTATTTTATTTATTGAGAATTTTAACACAAAACAATCATTTGTATATCATGGATGCCCAGAAAGAATAAATATTGTGGTTCTAATTCTTACACTTTGATTTATTAGTCCTTAGTTTATTTGAATGTCATGTCACAGAGTACAGCTAATAAAAGCATGAACATTTGTCTTTGAGCAAGTTTGATCTGAGGTGAATAACATTAAACAATAGCCTATTGACAAGCAATTAAACACCACTTCTTTTCTTAGGAGTGTTTTAAATTATGTTTGTTCTAACTAATGACAACATCTTTTGTGTTTAGAATTCCAATATAATCTTAGATGAGAAGAATCTTTTAATTAGATTTTCAATAGAATCAGTCAAGACCCACTGCTCACCATCTTGACTCTTTGTCTTCATTGACTTGGACCAAAACAAAACAAAGATAAATAGCAAAATTCATTATCAATATTTGTTTTAACTGCCTATTGTCATTTCCTCAGGGTATACAACACAGCTTTCCCCAGTGAGAGTGCTGTGTTTCTTACTTTTAACTTTAGAGCAATATATTCAACAATTCTGTGTCATGGAAGAACCTAGCCGAGGCAAAAGAAAAGAAAAAGTAATGTTCTTCTTCCATTTACACATAAAATGTTTATTTGAAGAATAAGAAGCAAAGAGAGCGCAGAAGGAAATTGTGTTTCTATCAGCAACTAAAAAGAAAGGCAAAACCCAAAATGAATAATATGTAATTATTTTTTATCTAACTATTTGGGCATTTGTTTCTGCATTTCTAAATAATGGAACTAGAATACGTTTTTACTATTGGTCAATTTTAGGTATCATTTGCTTACTTCCTTAATAAATGTTAAAAAATTAGCTATGAAAGGACCCTTTTAATGCTAAAAATATCACAGGAAATATTTGCATTACCTAAGTCAATACGTAAGCCAGCCAGGAAGAACATTTACAAGACAAAGTTGATCATGATACTCTCTTGTAAGTGAAGATGCTATTATTTTATAACCTGGATGTGATGATCCGAAAGTTGTTAAATAAAAGTTTCATATGAGCTCTTGTAATCTGTAAAATGTCCTCTAAGTTAGCTTTAGGTAAACTAACATACTGCCAAGAAACAGTGTTAATGT